CCCTAGTGAGGATTAAGTGGTGTATAGATGCTATCCAACTGAAGGAATACCAATACAAACTCTCTGCTCACATCCCTTTTCTTCTTCTCTCTCTGAAGGGCACTACAGGTCAAGATGGCCTCCCAGGCAGCGACGGTGACCCTGGAGAAGATGTGAGTGGATTAAACTTAGGGTCACAAATCTCTACAAACCATCTGTATTTGCTCTAAATCTACAAACTTATTTTTGTTTCTGCTGTTTGTCTCGTCAGGGTCCTATAGGAGTCCCGGGGTTGATGGGAGAGCCTGGACCATTCGGTGTCAAGGTAACAGAAGAAGTCAAATAGACAGTTAGACACACACCTTCATTAATGTTTAAATCTTCTCACTGTTGTAGTTTAGTTTGACTTAAAAATATCAATAATCAAGGATGATTTCTTTTTAAAGCCATGCAGTTATGTTTCAGTCATTAGTGGCAAAGTGAAGCTGAATACTGGAGTGCCTATCAGCCTTAATCGTTATTTCACTGGCAAACACACACAGATGCAGATTCAGAAACCTTCACTGCTGCAATTAGGAACAATGGCAGGGCGGGGGGAGCAACAACAGCAAAAACAAGAGCCAGTTCAGGAGCCTCTGCCATCAGCTGAGTCATTATAAGGCCTTGTGGCTGGTGGAAGGAAGGACCTCCTGTGCCGCTTGGTCCACTGCCAAGATATGGTGGAGCGGGTGGCTGGTTGTCTGTGATGACCCACAGCTTGCTCAACATGCGCCTCTCCTGCCTATCACCTGTGAATGTTCAGCTTCATACTATGGGATGGTTCTTGTGTGAACACCCAAACCCACTGTTTTCTTTAAATGAGTCATAAAATGTTGCAATTGCTGTGAAACTCTGCAGCATTACATGGAAGTCTATCAAAAATGAAACCTATAATAATACCTTGGATTTCTACATCATTTATATCCCAAAACTTTACAGCTGACAGAAGATATATTGTGTTGTAGTGTACTGCATACATTTAAGCTGTTCTGTTCTTCTTCTACAGGGCAACAAAGGGGATCGTGGTGTCAGAGGAGCTCGAGGCAGAGTGGGCGCTGTGGTGCGTAGGCAACAGCCTTCTCACCTAAAGATTTACACGTGTTTTTTTAACAAAAAGCCCCAAACTGTAAACATGTTTTGGAGTTTTGGACCTACACTAGGGACTAAAAGTCAGGACAGCCCCAATGTCTACAACTTGTTTTTTCTCGTTGTCCTTCTATAATCGGTCCGTGGTAAGTCCCCCACCTTTATCTAAATGTCATGTTCTGATGTCTCGAAGCTAAAAGCAGTCCTGACATTTGCATGTACAGGTCCCCCATAGGGAAGTGAGAACCAGTCAGTGGTCTGTCTGCTGCTCTGTTCATTGTTTTATTCAAGAGCATTGCACTAGAAGGGGGGCATAGTTAACTCTGAGGTTTAAATAAAACGTAGACAGCAATAAGGACTTAAATTATAAGGCAGCAAGTAATTATCTAACTCATAATACAATAGTACAATACACAAATATGTCAATTTAAAAAAACAGAAAGAAAGTGAGATACATTCAGATAAACAAAGCTTTTAGGGAGGGAGACGTACATGTGTCTTAACAGGGGTGAGTTTCATTAAATACACCATTTCACTCTCACTTCACATTTTTCAGTTCAGCTAATATGTGCACATGTCAGCAAAACACAAGTCCACAAGGAGAATTCTGTCAGTTTTGGCTCTAAATCTAATTTAGAAAGTAATGTCGAATCGTGCAATAAAAAAGGAGTGGTTCTCCCAGAGAACTTGGAAAATTTCCCAGTTTCACTTTCACTTCAAGTTGTTGGACATAAATGAGGCCATTCAGGACTCAGTGACCTTATAAAGGGGAATCAGAAAAGGGAATGTCCCTAAAAGAAACACAAACAAAAAAAACACACTGTTGGTGCAGATTACAACAAACAGACAAACTGAATATACTTTGTTATAGTCTAGAGAAGAGTTTATGTATATTTGAAAAACACCCTATGATAAGTTAACTTGACATAGGGAGCAGCTGGTGCACAAAAGTTGGCCATAGTAATTTATATAGAGATGAAGTAGAGTTTGGTTTATGAAATGGCAAAAAAAAAAATTGTTAAGATTCCCATAAATTTCCAGAAGTCCAAAAGTCTGAAACCCAAATATGTGCAGTTTACAGTGATACATGCTACATTAGAAGAGTAGATGAACTGTAATAACGCTTTAGATTTTACTGATAACCAGTGAAACGAGGCCAGAACATGGGCGATATGGTCTTTGTTCTTGGTGCCACTGAGACAATGAGTCCTTCTGATGGTTTTCAGATCACCTGCAGGCAAGATAAGGCTGACTGGAGAGTATGATTTAATGGTAAATGGCATGTTCTTTGCACCTTTTAGTGCTTAACAATGTGTTTACAAGGTACAACCTGTAGCACAAATTGCTGTTTTTTCTGGCATGGGAACATTTTAAGAGTTGAACCTAATGTCTGATGTCAAAGTGAAATCTGTCAGCAGTTGAATGTTCAACCCTTAGCAGTCACACCACTGCTGCACATCAAACTGTGTGAGGTGGAATATATTAGGTAGCAAGTGATAATTCAGTTCGTGATGTGTTGGAGGCAGAAAAAATAGGCAGAATCTGAGGCACTTTGACAAAGACCAGATTGTAATGACTGGACGACCGGGTCACAGCATCTCCTAGACAGCAGGGCTTGAATGCAGGTGATCGGTACCTTCAAAAAGTGGTCAAAAAGCGGCAAAATCAAAACTCATATATATGTTGCAAAAGTTTTTGCATTTCTGTTTGTTTGTTTGTTCAACAGGGAGGTGAGGGAGAACGAGGAGATGCAGGAGTACCGGGACAACCAGGACCAAAGGGCCTCCAGGGCCAGACAGTGGGTACACACAGCATACCACAGAACCTGCAAATCAGTTATCGTTATTTTGGCTGATATCATCTCTTAGTAAAAATCAGACATCATATGGTTCTTACAACCTGAAATAAAAACACAATCAGGTTGAATTCACGCTTAAAAAAAGTGTTTTGAACCACAACACTGAACGAGTTTTGTCACGTTTTGTTACTGATATATTGCACACATGTATTCTTATACTCATACACCTTTGCACAAACACAACATGCAGACACAGTCATGCAGGATATATTTTATCTGTTCTTCTGTTTCTTTTCTTAATCTGTGTATGTATTTGTTTTTTATTGTTGTTGTTTTTGTTGTTGTTTCCCCCTGGATTTTTAAGTCTATCTAGGCTGCAACTTAGCCGTAGCTACACAAAATTACTACCTGGCTTCTCTTTTTATGTACCAGTGTTCAACTTCAGTGCTTGTTTTGGGAGATTTAAAAACTATTATTTAGGGATGTTGATGATTTGGCATAAAAATGTAAAATCTGTCGATATTGTTGTCATTTTTTTTGCCTATAATGAGAACTGATAAAATAATGCCTGGATTTTGCCGGCATGTACCGGTGGGCAAATGATGAGCGTGTGAACAAGTGTGGCTGCAGCAACAAACACATATCGGTATCGGTTGATATCAGAATCGGAAATTGAGAGTTGGACAATATCGGCATATCGGACATGGGCGCAGAATTGTTTAGACAGCTTGCGTGAATATGTCGTATTTGTTTTTCTTCAGGAGTATTTCTGTCACATTTGTAGTTATGAAAAACAGTGTAGATGTGTTATTAGGCGTTAGTGTTTAACTCGTGTTTTTCTTTTTCTCTCCAGGGTGCCAAAGGTGAGACAGGATCTGATGGTGAAACGGTGAGTTCTTTAACCACACTGTGAAAATTGTGACGGGTTACCGAAGTTGGTACAAGATGCTTAAAGTTCCTGGCAGGTGAACAAAGTACAGGGAGCAGAAAAAAAAGGCAAAATCCAGGGACAGAGGAGGAAAAAAAAGTCCTAAAGTAAAAGAAAACTTGCAAACAGAGAGAAACAGGCGAAAGTTAAATAGAAGGAAACCAATACAGGAACAGAAAATAACACAGAGGAAGGGAAGAAGATTTGACTGATTAGAAGTGTGAAGACAATCCGACCAATGGTTGGTGAAGTTTTAGAGGTGAGCAAGAAAACTGGCAGGAAAGAAAAAACTAGAAAACAAAACATGAACAGGAAATACTGCAGCTTGTGGTGTTTTGTGTGTGTGGTTAGCCTGAGAGATGGTGTAATGATCGTATGTTAGCATTGAAGAGCAGCGCTGCACGAAGGATGTTGAAATGCTGGTGGTTGGTTTGCAGCCGCTTCACCTGCCGAGGGAGTTTTCACACGTCCTGGCAATTACAGTTTACATCCCCCCCTTGGCTGATGCTGCTGAACTCATCCGTAGTTCAGTGTCCCAGCTGCAAACATCACATCCTCAGTCTCTGATCGTCATCTCAGGAGACTTTAATCATACATCGGTCTCTACCACTCTCCCCAACCGGAGACGGTGGGGCCTTGGACCTGCTGTGTGCCGACACCAGGATGTATATGACTTAATTATTGTTATTTTCTTGTACTTTCTATATTTTTGGATGCTGCTGTGGCGTGTAAATTGCCCAGGTCTGGGATAAATAAAGTCTATTCTATTCTATTCACAAACAGCCAGATACTCGTCTACTTGTATCACATCTTATCCTCACTAACCACATTCAAACTGAAACTCAAAGCAAGTGCTTTAATCACAGAGGACCTGGGGGGAGCTGGTTGCTAACAAAAAGCCACTGATTGCTCATTCTTCTTGTGGGCTCACCACAGAAGCCCCTTTCTCTCATCATTGCGTTAGAGTTGAGTATGTCCTCAGTCCAGCAGCGTGCCGTGAAGCCTTCAGCTTTCTCCTTCATGTCAGCCACAAAAGCAAGACTTTCAAGGAAATCCAACCCTGTCGTAGACATTTGCTCAACACAATGACAAATTTCTTATGAAACCAGTAGAAGTCACCAGCAACCAGTAATTATGAAACCACAAACAGGCAAAAATGTCTAGAAAGCTTTTTATATTTCCTTGTAAGATTTGATCTTCGGGGAAACCAGAGCTTGAGTCTTTCTTTCTCCTTTTACTGAAGTGTTTCATGGTTTTAATCACAGATGAGTCACTCTGCTACTGTACAGACTTCATCAGCAGTGTGTTGTCGTTTTGCTTTGCCTTTCTAACACCTGTAATAAAAGACACCTAAAGCCGTGCTGCATTCAAAGATTAAAGCTGTTGAGTCACCTAGACTTCATATTTAACAGATGTGATGTCTTCAGTTCACATGCTTGATTGTAAAAGACATGGTGTAATTAAAGTCTAACTTCAAAACATCATTGAAGCGTCTCTTGACCTAAATATACAGGAAAGGGAAATTTCCTGTCATCATCTTTTTTTTGCACCTTGTCTTTCCTGTTTTTCAAGCGTTACCCATCTGCCATGTGATAATGCAGCAAACCGTCAGCCGCTGTTTGTTTTTGTTTTTTTTGAAAGCTCTTGCGGTTATTAAAAATTCCTGTTCAGTTGCACGTCTGTTTGTTTTGTTTCTCTGCAGGGCGCAGGAGGAAAAAAAGGCGCTAAAGGAGATAAAGGCCAAAAGGTGTCGTCCCACGTACTGTACTCTCCATTTCATTTCCTCTTTCAACACCTACTGGGATTTACTCACTGCAGTTTGTTCCTCTCTCGTCTTACCTTTTCAGGGAAGTGCGGGCGACGGCGGCGACAAAGGACAGGTGATCAAAGATTTGGTTTATATTTAGCTTTTGCCCTGACGTCACAGAAATACGCACACACATCTAATAAAGCTGAAGAGTTTCCAGAGTGGGACGAGCGCCATACGAGGCCTGGCTTCATGAAAATCATAAAGAATACAAACAACAGGTCAAACAGGGCAACGTAGCTCTTTTTATAATGAGAGCAGACATCATACTATTAAATCATAAACATCTGGTCAAAGACTAGTGTCCAGAAGAGCTTTTGGGGAGGGATGATTAAATGTAAAAGAATAAAGTTAAAGAATGGAGGCCTTGTCTGTGCTGTATACTGCAGAGTGTTTGTTTAGATATTGGCCACTTTATTAGGTACACCCGGCTAGTTTGGACCCACTTCTCCTTCAGAAGTGCTTTAATTCTTCCAGGCATAGATTCAACAAGGTGATGGAAAAACCCCTCAGAGTCTCTGATCCATATTTTAATGATAACATCATGTAGTTGCTGCAGACTTGTGGGCATCTTCTTCATGATGTGAATGTCCCCATTCCACCACATCACAAAGATCTGCAGACTGTGGAGGCCATTTAAGAGATGATTTGAAGTATGTGACACAGCACAGTGTGCTGCTGAAAGTAGCCGTTACAAGAAGGGTACACTGTGGTCACGAGGGGATGGACGTGAAGAGCAACAGCACACATGTAGGTGTGGCATCAGCATCGGGGAAAAGCACAGGAAAGGAGAATAGACAGAGGACAGGAAAGACATGAGGCTAGCCTATAAAAGTGGGTTTTTAACAGTTTTTTAAAGACTCCACAGAGTCAGCAGATCTAATCGCAGTCGGCAGATTGTTCCAGAGCTTAGGAGCAACGACCTCGGAAAGCACAGTCACTTCTAGATTTAAAAAGGGAGCGAGGAACAACCAAGAGGCCTTGATGGTTGGATCGGAGAGGTCGGCTGGCAGAGTAACGTTTTAATAATTCAGATGGGGACTAGGCCATGAAGGGCCTTTTAAGTAATTAACAATATTCCCAGTGAAGGGAGGCCAGAATTGGAGTGATGTGGGACTTACGGCTGGTTTTTGTGTATAATACAAGGCAGAATCGATCCATGCTTTCATGCCATAGTTCTGACTCTAGTTATTTGAATGTCACAGCAGAAATTTAGACTCCTCAGACCACACAAGGTTTGTCTGGTCTTCCTTGGTCTAATTTTAGTGAACGTGTGCTTACATCAGCCTCAGTTTCCTGTTCTTAACTGACAAGGTGACAGCTGTCGTGATCTCCTGCTCCTTTGAGGATCAGCATGCTGTGAGTGCAGAGAAACCACTCTGTCAGTTATTTGAGTGACTGTTGCCCTCCTATGTGCTCGAAACGCACTGGTCATTCCTCTCAGACATCAACAAGGCCTTCTTTATTTGTGGGAGAACTGCCACTCACTGGATGTTTTGCTTTTGCTTTTTGGACCATTCTCTGTAAACCAAAGACCAAATGCTTACATCAGCATGTCTGGTACAAACGACCAGTCGCTTACATCATCTTTCTTCCTCATTTTGATCCTGATATGGCACTCTTGCCCGTGTCTATGTGCCTAAATGCATTACGTTTCTGCACTGTGATTCGCTGAATACGTTTTTGCTTTAAACAGCAGCTGAAATGGTGTAGCTAATCACATGGCTGGTCAGTGTATAAAGGAAAAATAATGGACAGAATACATGATAAACCAGTGGGTTAGTATGCTAAAAAGAGCAAAATGTAAAAGAAATACAACATGTGAAGCAGCTATCATGTGTACAGTACGAAAGTAAGTAGAGTGGTTATAAACACTATTATCAGTAAACAGTTATGGGGTCAAAAGGACAAAATGTGCAATATGAATATGGTCCGAAAGTAATTTGTACGATTTTGCTCCCTCCGTTCATCCATCGTTTCTGACAGCGGGGGCCAAAAGGAGCAGTCGGTCGTAGTGGTGTCCCCGGCCCTGTCGGACCGCCCGGCATCCCAGGGACCAGAGGAGAGCGCGGTCCCATCGGTGACCTCGGTGTTAAAGGCCGAGCGGGACCCAAAGGAGTTCAAGGTCCACCTGTGAGTAGCATCTGCATGAGTGTGGACTTAAAAACCATCTTTTTTTTTATTGAGCTCTTAAAACTGCTTTCAGTCGCAGCACTTTTAATGTCAACTTTTGAAAAGACCATCCATCAAATGAGGCCTCATCTCATTTCAGGTTCTCACATGCTACTAATTTCCGCCTTTTTCTAGTGAATTTAAGATATTTGGTTTTTGGACTGTTGGTCAGACAAAACTACACATTCAAGGAATCCCTTGAAAGTAGATTATGCATCTCAGTGGATTTATTTCAAATTAAATTAGAAGAAAAATACATTTTATGCCCCTTTGTACTCCAGGACATGGTGGGGTTTTTCAGTTTTATAGACCTAATGGTTAATCAAGAAAATAATTGGCAGATTATTTGATAATTAAAACAATCATGAGCTGCATCTGAAATAATAGTTTTATTTACAGAGTATTTAGTAGTTGTTATACGTCCTTTTTCTATATAAAGATATATTTTAACTGTCTTGTACTTTAATGGGGGCAGTTAAGGCTACCCACAGAAGGGTTTTAATTGATTTTTATTCAGTTCATAAAGTTCACCATGTTTACATCTATTTGTTGTGTTTTTCACAACACTTACATTTGACTTAAACACTCCGTAGAGACTTGCGTGACCTGTTAAAGTCAGAGTTTTTGTGGCAGAGTTGATAAACTGAGGCTTCTCTGTCCTGCAGGGTCCTGGTCTGACTGATGAGCAGGTCCTGCAGCTCTGCAAAGGTGTGGTCACGGCCCAGATCTCCCAGTACGCCTCCTCAATCCGAGCCAAGTGCTCTCAGGGCTGCCCCATTAACAACCGGACACTGATCGGGCCCCCCGGAGCTCGAGGACCGATGGGATCAACAGGCAAAGCTGTAAGTCTCACTTCTGATTCCAGCCACGGATGGTGGGAAAGACCGCGAGCTCATACCTCCAGATCTGTGGATAATAGTCTTCGGTGGACAATTTTGTCATCAGATTTTTTTTTGTTAAGATCTCTAATAAGATTTAAATTCCTCATGTCCTGTTGTAGGCATCTGCTTTTCTCATTTTTTACGCAGTGTAGAACAGAAAAAGTGAGCAGAAAACAATCAGAAACTGCACAAATAAAACATCTACATACTGTTTTTCTCTTCAAACTATCATGATGATATCGTAATAAGTTACTCTGTGAATTCCTGTCTTTGATCCCGAATTTCCACATGTAACTTTGCACCATTTCTCCCTCCATGTTTCAGGGTAAAGCAGGAAAAGCCGGAGCAAAAGGAGCCCGAGGAGTTCAAGGCGACAGAGGCCTGGAGGGACAGAAGGGAGCGCAGGGCGACAGAGGTAACATCTGATTCTCAGACTATATGATTTGTATTTATGAAGCATACTGACAGCAGTAAGTCTGTCAGTGATTATTGTTCATCCTCTTCATACATTTTCCTTCTTTTAATTTAGTAATTCACATGTTCAGACTACATGAACTGCATAGTTTGTCTCATAAAATTAACAATTCATGCCTTAAGATTAACAGCCTTTATTTCAGTTTTTGGTTAGAGACTGAGATATGTGAACCTCCTGCAGGTTTATGGGTTTAAAGAAATAGTTTGTGACAGTACAATGAGCACTTTGAGAGAGTATTTTAGCCATTTAAGGGCAAGAATGAATGCAAAAATGAATAATTCAAGAAAAAAGTGGACTTCTGAACACATCAGAATTTATGGACACAAATTTATCTCAGTGTCAGTAAACAGAAAAATAAAAAGTTCTACTTAGGAGGTCTGCAGCCATAACGAGAACAGCTCCCTCCTACCTGAACTCTCTCACTCACTACACTTCCTCCCGCTCACTACGCTCGACCAACAAAAAACCCCCTGAAACAACCACCAAAACAGGGCCCCAGGTCGATAGCTAGACTCTTCTCCTCTGTGGTTCCCCAGTGGTGGAACTCTGTTCAATCTGCTGACTCCCTCTCAGTCTTCAGGAAAAGACTAAAGACCAGCTCTTCACTGAACACCTTTGCACTTGACAGACTGATAAACAAAAACCTCCCACGCAGCCTGCTGTTGGCATCAACACCCTATCCCTTGACTTTTTCTGTGTTCTATGGCACTTATCCAGATTCTTTCTTCCTGACTACATCCTTGCTTGTGTTGTATCTGCTCTCAGATGGACGTCGCTTTGGACAAAAGCATCTGCTAAATGAAATTGTAGAATTGTAAAAATTGTAGAAGCTCTTTGTGTTTTTTGTGTGTTTTTTTCCCCCAACAGGTAACAAGGGGCCTAAAGGTGTTGCTGGTGATCCAGGTACAGGTCTGCCAGGACTGGACGGACCACAAGGACTCAGAGGTATGGCTTTGTTCCTCTCTGCATGGTCCCGAGGCTGCTCTGGTTTATTTTGCACCACATGCTCCTCTTGTATTTGACACAGTTTAAACTATTTAAATAAGCGGCCTGACTTTGGCATTTTACTCTCCCAGGTTTACCAGGTCACCCAGCAGAACCTAAAAACGGCATGGAGGGTCCCCTTGGCCCTCGTGGCTTCCCTGGTCCGGTGGGTCAAACCGGTATGGTTGGGATCGCGGGCGTGCCGGGATTTTGCGAGGCGCGGGACTGCAGCATTCACGCACCGGTGATGCGCAAAGAACAGGGTCTGGTGAAAAGACCTGGAAGTGCAAAAATCTGAACCTCAGCACGAGGGGGCAAGGACTGCTATGAAGTTATACCGTTTCTGAGAATCACTCAACTTCAGCGGGTGTCTCAGACAACACAGGGACTGGGTTTTATCGGAGAAAATTTTACATTTATGACTGGTTTGTACAAGAGCTGAAAATCGGACAAAATCTAGTAACGCGGGGAGCTCCTCTAAGAAGTGTTGCAGGAATCCAACCGGCTCAACCGTCCGCCTGAGCCGGACGAGGCTTCCAGTGAACGTTTAGAGCGTTTACACGTAATAAAATCCAAACTCTGCTTCAGTTTTTACTGGAAAAATTCAGCTGAATGTTTTGCAATTTGATAAAACAAGAGTAAATTGTCCGCCGTGATTCCCTCGTTCGGTTTAGTTATTTTATCCTCTGATCACTAAAGAAAATAAAAGAAAGAAATGATGCTCTGTAAATATTTTGTAAAGAATCCTAAATACATGTACTGTGCTCAGAAATACGTTTCAGATAAACTGATGTTTTTTTTAATCCGAGTTTGTAAGTCGTCACATTTTTAAAACCCTGTTTCGGACGTGGCAGCAGCATGTGTGTGACGTGATATTAGGCCCGTCTGAAACGGGATCAGGACTTGTTGTTTTTGTTAAATTCATTGTGAAAAATGATCAGAGAAAAAGCCTGGTATGACATCGGTACCTCTTGACCAATGTCTCAAAATTTTCCACCGATTAAAAAAGTAAAAACTAAACGTCAGATGAGTTTGATTGTCAAGTTATCACAGCAAAGGCTTGATCTGATTGTTGCTGGAGAAGAATGCCGAGGTTTGACGAGAAAGCTTTCAACGTCAGACGTATTTGAACCATCAGAAATAGAAATAAGTAACAAGCAATTTGAGAAAAACTCCCCCAAAAGGTCCCCACTTGATGACTGAAAAGACACCGTACTATTTAGAAATGTGTCGTTTTTGAGCAAAGGTGAGCTGTTGTGCTCGAGATGCAGCAAGTGGGGAACTTTGAGTCAAGAGAGAGCTGAAGATCCACACTTTCCTGGACAGTGTAGCGTTACCTCGAAGCCATTTAAAGCAAGAAGGATTTCTTTTTTTTTTTCATGGAGGAAAGAAAACGTCTAATTACGTAGCTTCGATACACAGAGTTGAGTTTTTAGGGGTTAAGTCACTGATTGGAGAGGGACTTCAATCCTCTATCTGCCTCCTGTCGACATCCGCAGATGAAATAGCATCAGAAAAATTATTGCATTAAGAATTCAGTCCTTTAGATTATTCAGTTGAATGAGACAGTATGCAGATATTTGTATAAAAATTCTTTTATTCTTTTTTTCAAAAGAAGATGAGGGCTACACAACAAAAATACGTATTTTGGCCATTATTGTAGGAAATTAAATAAATAGAGAACAACAACAACACGAAGGCAGTGGGTATGTTGGGTTAGGATGAGGTATTTAAAAAAAAAAAAAGGATTTGGTCAAGTTCATGATTGTTCGAAAACACAGTACAGAGATAAAACAATGTACTTGGCTCAGGTCCCACCCTCCCCCCCCACATATAGATATCATATTTTTAAAATAATTTTCTTTCAAAGTAAACACACATTCAACCCAGAAAGCAAAAAAACAAACCACATTATTCCCTCCCTTATTTGTATAATAACTTTGTGGCTACATTCATACCTTTTTGTGAAATGTCCCGTTAGTGTCTCAGTCAGGCTAATTTTTAAGAGATGACATGATGTGCTACTGTTGATACCAGAGTCAGCTCTAGTAAATTCATAACGTGTTTAGAAAGGCCGCGTTACTTCATTCTTGATTTTAGTTATTTGAAAAGGTCAGAGATCTTTAGAGCTTTAATTCCTGAATTAAAAGCAGTTTCTAAACCAAATCAACGGATTTCATTCAAAGTAGAAGAAGACAAATTAAATTCATTCATTCAGTCATTCATTCATTTTTGTTTTTCAATTTAAAGTCAGTTGAAAGAACCCAAATCCTGAGACATGAGTTAAATAAGGCTAGGGCTGAGGTAACTCTTAATCTCATTGTACTTGTGTATAGTGACAATAAAGGCATTCTATTCTATTCTAACTAAAAAAGAAATAATCACAGACGACATAACTTGGCTTAGCAGAATACATAGTTGTGAAATAGCTTATGTAGTTTGGCATATGTCAAGTGCACAATTAGTGTATTATATAAAATGGAGCATTATACATGCAGTGTGATCTAAAGGCAAAGCACATTTTGGCACATTCAAACAGAGAACATAGTAAAAAGTCACATTTGAGGAGTGGAAATGTTTGGCATGTTGTTTTAAAAAAAAAAAAAGGCCTTAAACCAATTAAAGAAATTCATAAACTTGTTGCCAAAAAAGGCTGCAGCTAACGTTTTTTTCGCTGTCACTTGATCGACATTTAACGTGTTGTCGGTTTATTGTTATAAGGTTTTCTACAGCTTGTTCTGTCTAACAGTCCGAGACAGTCGGATCACAATCACAGGAAACACAGTGACAAATATTAGTTGGCAACAACGGCATAAATAATTAAGCAGGTACGAAAATTCTTGTTTGGTTTTCAGTCAACTGGATTAAAAAAGTTACACAACTATTGTTAAAATTCCAATTTCATAAAGCAAAAGCTGGATTGTTTTTCTCAGCGGAGTCATATGGCCAAAAAAGAGACAACAAACGACGCTTTAAGGTCCGTCTGAGATATAAATAGTCACTAAGTGAAATTTTTGTTGTGGATTTTTCAATTTTTTTCTTTAGTTTTCCGTCAGCCTGCTAATCCATTGATCAGTGTTTTTAACTTTAATGCAAAGATTAGAAGAACGTAGTTTAACATCCATTAGCAGCTCAGTTATTACTTATTAGTAGCAAAATATAAGTGACTTGGACAGCTTTGATTAGCGTTGATACACAGCTAATCCTGCCTGGTCTTTAGTGAAGAGGCTATGTTGAATTTGTTTATTATCATTGTCCATCATCTATACACCGCTCTACCCTCCCTAGGGCAGCGGGGGGGCTTCACACCCTGGACAGGTCACCAGTCTATCACAGGGCTACACTTAGAGACAGACAACCAAGCACACTCACATTCACACCTACGGACAATTTAGAATCACCAATTAACCTCAACATGTTTCTGGACCTTGTGGGAGGAAGCCGGAGAACCCGGAGAGAACCCACGCTGCACGGGGAGAACATGGAGACTCCACACAGAAAGGTCCCCGACTTTGGAGAAGTTTGGACTCCTGAACGCTACCAGTCAGATTCATGAAACTATCAACCCCTCCTTCATCATCCTGTGTTGTTACTGGCATGGAGGGTCTGTGTGTTTGTGCTTGGTTCTGCTGTATTGTTCTCCAACCTCAAGGTCATAAAGATGCTCAGTCCTGCTCCGACAATCTCTGACCTTTTCTTCAAGTACGTTCACAGTGTAGTCGACTAACACAGTGTGCAGCTAACGGGACATTTCACTGTGCAAAGTAGTCAGTGCTGGATATAGCACCTGGACAGGCACCATTGCTGGCTTGTAAACATGAAGTTGTCCTTTTATCTGTTATTTATTCTGATTTCTACTTCCAGTCCTATGAGATTAAAACTATAATTGATCTTCTTAATCGGCGATTTAAAAATCCAGTTAAAATAAATACTACCTTTTAAAATTAAAGACACATCATCCCAGGGCTGTTTTGGCTCAGAATACTGGCGTTTTGTGCATGACCTTACTAACGTATTGCTGGTCGTAGCAGTTGTACAGCCCTCAGATAGAGAAAAAAGTAAAGCCTTTGAGAACATAACATAATGCCACTTTTTTTGATATTTAGCAATGAAAATGCAGAAACTAATGTGTATGTATATTATTACTACTATTGCTGAGTACTCTAGCGTTGGAAGCAATATACCGTCTTTGCAAAGCTTATAATAGACACACAACCGTCTCCACTCACGGAAGGCATTACATGGTGACATAGGTTTGTGTAAATTGCGGATCGCAGCAGCGACCACTGGTAAACCAGCACCTGTGCTACATAGCGGCTTCGTCAGGGGACTCCCAGCCATCCAACAATCACCACAGCCAGCAGGAACAAACTGATAGAGCCTGCAATTAAAAACAAAAAGGTTCATTATTTTATTGAAGTATTTTAGCCTCAGCTGTTCAGATGGATGCTAACACAGCATGAAAGTATAACCCAACAACTGCTGAATGAAAAGAAACTTTGACAAATAGATCCTTTCTCCTGATTGTGATCCCCTTTTTAGTTCAGAGTGAAATATTGTCACACTTATTGGATTTGCTGTGACGCTGAGTTTCACTTTAGTATTGATGAAAGTCTTTCATCAGCACAATTAACGTTGTCACGGTGACATTAGCCTGCGTTATAATCCAACAGTAAGCATTTTCCATCCACTTGTGGCTGTAGACTGGCACTGCACTGATACAACATGTGGGAGGTAGGATGGAGAATTTAAGGAATATGTCCATCCATCCATCCATTATCTATACACCGCTTAATCCTCACCGGGGTCGTGGGGGGCTGGA